CAACCACCGCCAGCAGCAGCAGCAGCAGCAGCAGCAGCAGCAGCAGCAGAGCAGCCACAAGTCGCTGCCCCCGGCCTACCGCAACACGGCCCATCTGTGGCGGATGGTTCAGGTGTACGAACCGCTGCGGCAGAAGTGCAACGCCCGCATAAAGGCGCAGGAGGAGCTGCAGCAGCGGCTGCAGCAGCAGCAGCAGCAGCAGCAGCAGCAGCAGCAGGGGGAGCCGGGCGAAGGCGCCTCGGCTGCGGAGGAGGAGGCGAAGCAGCTGGAGCTGGCGCCGCTGGCAGCCTGCAGCAAACGCTTCCTCGTTGTGGGAATTCCCATTCTGCATTTGCTGCGGACAACTTTGGAAAAAGTTTTGGACTTTGAAAAGAAAGTTAGAGAGCTGCAGGTTGTGGGGCCGCTGCAGCAGGTGACGCTGACGGAGGGTGGCGCTGCTGCTGCTGCAGTGGTGCTGCCCGCCACCAAGGGGCCCGCCGCGCTGCTGCAGCAGAACCCGCAGCAGCAGCAGCAGCAGCAGCAGCAGCTGCAGCGGCTCTCCTGGGTCCAGTGGATGGCTCTTGTCGACGGCGCCAACAACTTGGGGCTGGATGTCGAAGCAGCAAGTCTTGTGAAGCAGCTGCATGCGCGGGCTTTGCTGCTGCAGCAGAAGGTGCAGGATGCTGCAGCAGGCCACCCAATTGCGAGTCTCGAGGCTGCCCATGCCATGGTGAGTGTCTTGTGCCTCTTGCTGCTGCTGCTGCTGCTGCTGCTGCGCCGCCTGCTGCTGCTGCTGCTGCTGCGCCGCCTGCTGCTGCTGCTGCTGCTGGGCGAGAAGGTGCTGCTGCTGCTTCTGGCTGCACGTTGCTGCTGCACGCGAAGCTGCTTGCTGCTGCTGCTGCGCTGCAGCTTGTGGAAGCCTCAAGCCTGCCAGTGGAGACGGGGGGCATTGCTGCAGTGTCTGCTGCTGTTGCTGCGGTTGACGCGTGGCAGCAGAAGGCGGAGGCGGCGCTGCAGCAGCTGCAGCAGCAGCTGCAGCTGCAGCAGCTGCAGCAACGCTGCGGGCTGCCGCCGCAGCAGCTGCTGCAGCTGCAGCAAAACCAAGCGCCAAGGACAGACGCATTGTGGGCTCTTATAGATGAGGCTTCAAGACTGCCTATTCTCCCAGATGGAATCCCAGCATACATCCGCCTCAAGAAGGTTAGCGAGGGTTTAGGGTTTAGGGTTTAGGGTCTAGGGTTTAGGGTTTGAAGGTGAAGAGGGGCTGCTGGGGTTTAGGGTTAGGGGCGAGGCTCAAGCCCAAGGGGAGTGGCCTAGAATTTGAGCTGCTCGGAGTTGGGCTCTTGTTGGTGAGCGTTTAGGGTTTAGGGTTTAGGGTTTAGGGTTTAGGGTTTAGGGTTTAGGGTTTCTGGTGCTTGTACAGACTGCCGAGGAGGTCGACAAGAAGCTGCTCAGCGACAGGAACGTGGCGCAGCAGCTGCTGCTGCTGCAGCAGCTCAAGGATGCTGCAGCTGCTCCTTCCGCGGACCCTGCGCTGCAGCAACAGCAGCAGCAGCTGCTGCTGCTGCAAAAGGGACTTCACTCTGCTGCTGCAGCAGCTGCTGCGTCGTCTGGGGAGCCGTCGGCGCTGCTGCAGACCCAGCAGCAGCAGCAGCAGCAGCAGCAGCAGCAAGCCTTCCAGCAGCCGCTGCAGCAGCAGCAGCAGGGGCAGCCCATGCTGCAAGCAGGAGCCCTTGGCCTCATAATGCAGCAGCTAGCGCATCGGCATGTGGGGGCAGAAATGGGCCTTATGTTTAACTTGCCTCTGGCGCAGCAGCTGCAGCACTTGCACCAGACGCAGCAGCAGCTGCAGCAGCAGCTGCTGCAGCAGCAGCAGCCGCAGAACAACCATCATCGGCAGCAGCAGCTGCAGCTTCAGCAGCTTCAAATGCAGCAGAAGTTGCAGCAAAACCACCAGCAGCTGCTGCAGCAACTGCAGCAGCAGCAGCCGCAGCAGCACCAGCAACTGCTGCATCAGCTGGAGCAGCAGCAGCAGCAGCAGCTGCTCGTTCAGCAACAGCAGCTGCTGCAGCATCAAAGAGCGGGCAGAGGCCGGGGAGGAGGCAGCAGAGGCAGCAGCACTAGCAGCAACAGGCCGAAGAGGAAGTCTCCTGCAACAGACGCCTGGGGTGCAGCAGCAGCATCTGCTGCAGCGCCTGCCCCTGTGGGAGCTCCTCTGCAGCCGCAGGGCGTTCCGCCGCACCTGCTGCTGCAGCAGCAGCAGCAGCAGCAGCAGCAGCAGCAAGGCCCCCCGGGTCCAGCTGCTCCGGACAGGGAGCAGCCTACGCCTCCTGTGCAGCTCTAATTAAGTAAAGCTGCTTCTCTTAGCTTTGAGTCCACAAAGGCTAACTAGTCGGCTGTGAGGGCAGCAGCAGCAGCAGAAGTGGCAGCAGCAGCAGCAGCTGCGGCTGCTGCTGCATGTGTTAAGCAACGCAACTCTGATTTATTTATTTCTTTTCACTCACTTTTCCGAGCAACGCCTCGACAGCCATTAGATTCATTTCCCCCAGAACAGCTGGCTAGCTAGCTAGCTATATAGCTAGCTAGATAGCTAGCTAGATAGCTAGATGGCTAGATAACTAGATGACTAGCTAGATAGCTAGCTACCTACCTAGCTAGCTAGGTAGGTATCTAGCCGACTAGAAAGCTAGCCAACTAGAAAGCTAGCTAGCCAGCTAGCTAGCCAGCTAGCTAGATAGCTACTAGCTGCTTAGCTAGCTAGGTAGATTTATACCTAGCTAGAAAGCTAGCTAGCTAGCTAGCTAGCTTTGCAGCTTTTCTAAACTTTGAAATGCAGGGCTTCAGCCTCCAGTAAGTCCCAAAGCAGCACAAATGAGGCCTTTGAGGCTGTCATTGGGGAGCAGCAGCAAAATGTGAATAGAGCAGCAGCGAAGAGAGTTCATAGTTAAGCAGGGGTGTTATGAATGCACTCAGTTAAGAGGGTTTTTGTTTTTGGAGAAGAAGAAAGAAATATAATTAATTTTATTTATCTTTTATTTATCTCTAGAGGCATATATCCCAATAGGGCTCGAGTGCTGCGCCGCAGCAAGCGCTTCAAGGCGATGCTTCTGCTGCTGCTGCAGCTGCTGCTGCAGTAGCAGCTGCAGCAGCAGCTGCTGCAGCAGCTGCTGCTGCTGCTGCACAAGCCACACGGGCAGCTAGATCTTTCCTTTTGCTGCACTTTGGGCTTTTCTTCTTTCAGTGCTGAGTGGCAGCAGCGCGGTGTCTGTGGGTGTCTTCCAAATTGTTCAGAAGCAGCAGAACTTCAGGAAAGTTGCTGCTGCAGCAGCAGCAGCTCTGAAAGCCAAGTGTGACTTGAAATGGGTCTTAGCCGAATTTCAAGAAATTTAGAAAGCAGCAGAACAGTAAGTCTGCTTGCAGCCAAAGGCCCCCAAACTTGAAGTGTGGGGCCCCACTGCAGCTTGTTGAGGCTGGGGGGTTAATTGAAGAAGAAATGTTAAAAATAAAAGTAAATTGAAACACTTCTTGATGCATTTCAGAAGTTTCTGCAGCTCTTTTCAGCAGCTCTTGCTGCTCGCTGGGGCCTTTGGCCGCCACTGTGCAAACTGGCTCTTTATGAGTGCATCGAGGCTGTCTTTGCTGCTGCAAACTGCCCCTTAAAGTGCCTTCAACCCCCAGAACTGCTGCTGCTGCTGCTGCTGCTGCTGCTGCTGCTGGCTGCGCAGCTACACAGCTGCAGCTGCAGCAGCAGAACATGCGAAGATCCTGCCCCAACGGAGCTTTAACTGCAGCACAGAAGAGCCTAAATCCTTTTCATGAGTCCCTGGGACTTCTACTTGGCATTATTTCTAAACTATTTCATCGAAAGTGGCAGCAAAGATGCCAGTTGGCTGCTAAGAAGCCACAGGCAATTGGGGCTGGCAGCATTGCTGCACTCAGCAGCAAAACAGCTTCCTGCGGCTCTTTTTAAGGCTCCAGGCCGCAGCAAAAAGCGTGTGAAAGACTGCAGCAAGATGGAGCCGCGGCGTTGCAGCAGATCAGCTAAGAATCGAATCTGCTGCAGCACGGGATTCCTGAGTCCTGCTGCGCTGCTGCGGGGCCAAGGCTGCAGCGTTGCTGCTTCCTGGCCCGCTATTCGGGCCTTGGAGTGGCAGCAGCTCTTGCTGCAGCAGGCGGGCTCGAGCTGCTGCAGTGTCTTACCGGTGCTGCAGCAAACGGTGTCTAGAGCTGGCGATGCAGCTTCTATCTTCTATTTCCGCGGCGCCTTCGCCCACGGGCCGGCGTGGGGTTCTTTGAAAAGTATTTTAAAAGAGAAAACACCGGTTTTTGCGGCGGTTTCTGCTGCTGCAGCATCTGCTGCTGCGCAGCAGAGCGCGCGGGTGCCAAGCGCTCAGCAGAGCCTTTCGCCTCCCCCGCAGCGTCTGCAGAAGCAGATCCTCGAGAGCTTCCAAAAGCTTTTTGTTTGCGTTTGATTTCAAGTTAGAATCTGCGGAAAAGTGTAGGGCTGGCAGCAGTGGTGTCTAGTGTTCGGTTGTGCAAGAAAGTCTGCGGCTTGCTGCGCCGCAGCTGCAGCAAGGCGGGCGAGCCCGCTCTCCCCAAGCCCCCGAAATACCCTTTTTAACTATTTGTCTTCAGCAAAAAAAGGATCCCAGGGCTGCAGCGAGGGCACTGAACTCTGGGCGTCTGCTGTTGCTGCTGCTGCGGCGGCTGCTGCTGCAAGATCGGGCGCGGCAGGCGCTGCTCGTTCTCGTCTTTCGCGGGTCGGCCTGCCCTTTGTCTCAGTGTAGAACAAATAAACAAGCTTTTTAAAAGCCTGGAAGAGGTTTGAAAACGGAAGCAGCAGCAGAAGGCGCGCTGTGCAGGGAGCGTTGTTTCGCTTCGGCGCTCCCGCGGCGTCTTGGGCGTGAAGGGCCGTTCGAACTCATTTTTCGCCGGTTTTGCGTGCGTTTGGCGCTGCTGAGCTTGCAAAAATCGAAAAGCCTGCATTTGAATGGTGCTATGAGCTGCTGAAGGCCCCAATAATGCGTTTCTTGCCCCTCCCCACCTGCTGCGTTGTATGGCTCGCAGCAGTCGCACTGGCCGCAGCGCCCGCAGCGGCCAACAGCCCCGCTGTTTCGCTCTGGGAAGCTCTAGAGACGGAGTCCGAGGCTGGCTCTCCCACTTCAGTGGACCAGTGGACCACTGAGGAGCCCCAGGTCACCGAGCCGGAGTCCCAGTCCGCCTACGACGCTGCAGCCTTCCCAATCCGCAGGACCACTGGCCCAACCCGCGGCTTCTACTTGACCCCCGGGGCCCCGGGGGCCCCGGGGGCCCCTGGGGCCCCGGGGGCCCCTGGGGCCCCTGCGGCCCCGGGGGCCCCGGGGGCCCTCTCTTCCTCCATACCCACTGAGGCGCTGCAGCAGAAGGGCCCCTCCCGCGGCTTCCGGGCCTCCCCGGGGGCCCCCCGGCCCCGCAGGGGCCCCCCGGGGGCCCCCAGCGTGGTGGCGCTGTTCTTATTTGCCATATTGGGTCTGGTGGCTGCGCGTTCTGTGCGGCTTCCGGGGCGGCTGCGGCCTGCGCTGGAGCTGCTGCCTGCGCAGCAGCAGCAGCAGCAGCAGCAGCAGCAGCAGCAGCAGCAGGCGCTGGAGAGCGCGCGGCTTGCGCAGCAGCTCGAGACCCTCGAGCTGCTGCAGCCTGCTGCGCTGCAGCTAGCTGAGGCCCTGGGCACTCGGGAAAGTCTTGCTGCTGTTCGGGAGTTCCGGCGGGGGCTGCAGCGAGCGAAGCAGCTGGAGGAGCGGGCCCGCGAGGGGCCCCCCGAGAAGCGCTGGAAAGGGCACTGGGAGCAGCAGAAGCAGCGCTGGCCCAGCTTTATGAAGTGGCCGTGGCCCACGGGCTGCAGGTGGCCCAAGCAGCAGCACGCATGCAAAGCCCTGCTGTGCTGCAGCAGCAGGAGCAGCAAGCCCTGGAGGCCTACGCGGGTACTGTGCTGACGGGGGCCCTGGGGGCCCACCTGGGGGCCCTGCGGGAGAGCTGCGGGGCGTTTGTGCAGCAGGTGGCAGCAGCGCAGCAGGCGCTGCAGCAGCAGCAGCAGCAGCAGTTCGCGCTGCAGCAGGGGGCCGCGCAGCTTGCTGCTGTTGCTGCCAAAGTGGACTTCCTCCAGAAGGCCCGCGAGGCCCTCGAAGCAGCAAGACGCAGCAGCAAAGACTTGGAGACAAGTGCTGTTGCTGTGATGCTTTCGCAGCTAGCTAGAGAGCATGCAACTTTGCTGCGGGAGTGCAGAGACCTCCTCGACGGCCAGCGGGCCCTCTACAGGGCTCTCCTCCAGCTGCAGCAGCAGCAGCAGCAGCAGCAGCAGCAGCAGCAGCAGCAGCAGCAGCAGGGGCCGGGCGGGGCGGCGGAGCGGCCGCAGCGGGACCCGCCGCAGCAGCAGCCCCCCACGGAGGAGCCGCAGCAGCAGCGCGGCCAGGACCCGGACCAGGACCAGGACCAGCAGCAGCAGCAGCAGCAGCAGCAGCAGCAGCAGCAGCAGCGGCAGTGGGACGAGGCGGAGCTGGACAGAGTGGAGCGGCAGCTGGAGAAGGGGGAGCTGCTGCTGCGGGAGTACAGAGAAGCAATTGAGCAGCTGCAGCACGAGGGGGACATTTTAGCTGCTGCAGCAGAGGGGCAGCGCGTGGGGCTTGTGGGGCGGGAGCTGCAGCAGCAGCTGGCAGCAGCAGCAGCAAGCCTCAGCGGACTTCTGGACAAAGATCTTTCCGGAAAAATGATGCAAAATGAACAAGTCCGACAAACCATCAACTCAATAGCAGCAAGAGCTGGCCAGGAGGCCTCAGCAATTAGCAAAAGGGTCTCAGACATTCTCAACGAGCTGCAGCAGGGGGGCCCCCTCAGGGGGGCCCCCCAGGGCCCCGGGGGGGCCCCCCGAAGCATCATAAACCCCTCCGTGCTGCTGCGGCTGACGGACTCGCTGCAGCAAGTGGGAGACAACGCGAAGAACAGGGCCCGGCATGCAGCAAATGCTGCAGCAGAAGCTCTGCGGTCTCGTGCTGCTGCTGCTGAGAACCTCATGAATGCTGCTCGAAGAGCAGCAGCAGAAACGGAAGCTTTTAATGGAGAAGCAGAAATCCTGTGGCTGCATGCGCAGCTGCTGGAGGCTCTGGAGCTGGACATGCGGCGGAGCCTGCGGCTGGCGCAGAGCGCAGCAGCAGCAGCAGGTTTGCTGCAGCAGGAGCCCGCAGCAGCAGCAGCAGCAGCAGCAGCGGCGGCGGACGCGGCGCCCGGGCCGCTGCAGCAGCAGCAGCAGCAGGGCCCCGAACTCCCCCCCGAAGCCGCAGCTGCTGCCACGGAGCTGCTGCAGGCCGTCCGCAGCAGCAGAGCTGCAGCATGGACTCAGTGGGCTTCCAAGGACTTGGTGGAAACTGCAGCAAAAATGAAGTCCAGTGTCCTCCAGCTGCTAGCCATAGTCAACGCCCCCGCGCCCCCCAGCCCAGACGCCAACTAGCAGCAGCAAACCCGGTGTACGTACACCCGCTTTGCTGCCAGCAGCAGCAGCAAACCGGTGTACGTACACCCGCTTTGCTGCCAGCAGCAGCAGCAAACCGGTGTACGTACACCCGCTTTGCTGCTAGCAGCAGCAGCAGCAAACCGGTGTACGTACACCCCAGGCAGCCGCGGCTGCTCTCGCTCGGGTGTACGTACACCCCACGCCCGTGCACGTTCAGGTGTACGTACACCCCAGCCGGCGTCTGCACAGTCTAGTTCAGGCGCAGGCGCCCTGCAGCTCAGGTGTACGTACACCCCAGGTGGCTTGTGCGCTGCAGCAGCGCGGGTTGCGCACAGTCCTGCTCAGGTGTACGTACACCCCAGCTCAGGTGCATGTACACTGCAGTTCGGCTGCGTGCGCGCCTCAGCTCAGGTGTATGTACACCGCAGCTCAGCTGTCTGTACACCCAGCTCAGCTGTCTGTACACTGCAATTCGGGTGCATGCAGACCGCAGCTCAGCTGCATGCACGCCGCTGCTCAGGTGTCTGTACACCCCGGCGTCTGCAGATAGACAGGAGTCCCGCCGCAGCTGCCGCAGCTGCTGCAGTGCTGGACGCAGCAGCAGCGAAAGAGGAGCAGCAGCAGCAGCATTCACAGCAGCTAAAGGGCCGCAGCAGCCGCAGCAGCTGCAGCAGCTGCAGCAGCCGCAGCAGGGGCAGCTGAATTAGGCTGCAAGGGAAAGGGCCTTTGTTTTGAGTTTTCCATCATTTTGCTGCTGCGAGCACGGGTTTGGCCAGAGGAGCGCATGCATGCACTTTGCATGCATTTCGCATGCACTTTGCATGCAATTTGCGTAGGTTAGAATATATTTTGCGGAGGTTACTCATTTGTAACCATTTTATGGCCCCGAGAACAGGCCAGGGAAGCAGCTCAAACCAGGAGCCACTTCCGCCTCCAGGGGCCCCCAGGGGCCCCCAGCTGGGTCACTGCAGCACAAGACGGGGCCCCTGGGGGCCCCTAGGGGCGCCCTGAGCCCCCAGAGCTCGGGGGCCCCCCTGCAGCTTTGGGCACTTGTGGGCGCCCTGCGGCTGGCGGCCCCCAGGGGCCCCCAACGGGGGGCCCCCAGCTGGGGGGCCCCCAGCCAGGGGCCCCCCAGCTGGTGGGGGGCCCCAGAAGGGGGCCTTGGGGGGCCCCGATGGAGCCTTTGGGGGCCCTTCGTGCGGCTTAAAACAGCCGCTGCGGGCCAGCAAAAGGGCACGGGGGCCCCCCGGGTTTGGGGGGCCCCCCGGGGTTTGGGGGCCCCCCGGGCAGCAGCAGGAAGTGTGGGGCGCAGCAGAGGGAGGGCCGCATGCAGCAGCAGCAGCAGCAGCAGCAGCAAACTGGTGGCTTCGGATTTGTGAAGAGTGCACTTTTAGCTGCATGCAAATGTGCAGAATGTGAGTAAGGCTTTTATGAATTAGTTTATTTATTTTTCGATGGTAAGGAGCAGCTCGCATGCATGCAAGGAGGCGCCGCCGTTTCGGTGCGGGGCGGCGCTGCTGCTGCTGCTGCTGCTGCTGCTGCTGCTGCTGCTGCTGCTGCCCAGCGGAGTCGGGCGGTGTTCTGCAGCAGCAGGGTCGGTGTCTGCTGCCAGTTTGCATGCAGCAGCTTTTAGTTCTCCATTTGCTTCCTTTGGCTTTGCTGCTAGCTGCCCAGACGCACGACGGCGAGCAGAGGGTTGGCAGCAGCAGCAGCAGCCGCTGCTGCTGCTGTTGCTGCTGCTGCTGCACAGAAGCAGCAGCTGCAACGCCTGCAGCAGACAAGTTGCTAGCGGCCGGCCAGGAGCCCCAAACCGTAGTAAGTAATTGAGCTCTAGATTTAGAATTTGCATGCAGCAGCAAAAAGCCAATTGGCGCAGCAAGAGGCGCAGGCTGGCGGGCTCTACACGCGGCAGCAGTGCTGCTGCTGCTGCTGCTGCTGCTGCTGCTGCTGCAGCACGCGGCGGCTGCGTAGGCAGCAGCGGGGGCTGCAGCTACCTGCTGCTGCGGCGGCAGCAGCTGGGGCTGCAGCCAGTTGTTGCTGCTGCAGCGAGGCCTTCTTGTGCTGCTGCCTCTGCTGCTTATTGCTGAAGCCGGCAGAGCAGCGCAGCAGTGCGCGCTGGGAGCAGCAGCAGGCTCTGCCGCTGCTGCTGCGCTGCTGCTGCCGACGCTGCTGTGTGAGAAGCTACAGTGTCTTCCCTTGGGCTGGCTGCTCCCGCAGGGGAGGCTCAGCAGCAGCAGCAACAGCAGCAGCAGCAGCAGCAGCGGTGGCGGCCCTGCGCACAAGTTGAGGGCTTCTCTCTGCATGCTATGGTGCTTTCGTGTCTCTGCTGGCGAAGTGTCTGTAAACTGTTGGACCTATTTTGAAATTAAGTCCAATTAGTGGTACTCAGAGCAGCAGCAGCAGCAGCAGCAGCAGCAGCAGCATTTGTAGTAGCAGCAGCAACTCGCGCTGCAGCGGGAGGCCGCGCAGCGACGGCGGCAGCAGGTCACAAACAGGCAGCAGCAGCAGCACCAAAACTGCAACAGTAGCAGCAGCAAAGCCGCAACAGCAGCAGCAGCAACTTATAAGGCAACTGCGCAGCGGTACTGCAGCAGGCTGCTGCAGCACAAAGAGAAGGGCCCCCAGTGGGGGCCCCCAAATGCCTGAGCCCCCCGCCCTCCTTAAATCAACACTTTAGAGAACGTTTGCTGTCTGCTGCTGTCGAATTTGTGAATAAAATGAGACATGATATAACAAATTTTCATTAATTTGCTGCTAGCAAGTTTTAACGTGCAGCAGCAGCAGCAGCAGCAGCAGCAGCAGCGCTGCAGGTCGGGAGAACGCAGAGGGCTGAAGCCCCGTCTGTCTTCTGCTTCTCCGTAGCTGCTGCCTTTTCTTTTATTCCTCTTTACTTTTGCTTCTTTTATTAAAGAAGACATTTGCGTTGTTTGCTGCTGCCGAGCCTCAAGGACCTCTTCTTTTTGCCAGGCTGCAGATGCATTTATAGCTCCCGCTGCTGCTGCTGCTGCTGCTGCTGCTGCTGGTGCCGCGGGGAAAGCATAGTCAGCAGGGTTGCTGTTGCTGCTCCACTCAGCTGCGGCAGCTGCAGCAGGTAGGAACTGTAGGGAGCCGGCATCTGCTGCTGCTGCTGCAGCAGCACGAAGAGTTCTCCAGGCATCTCATCTGCAGCAGCAGGTCATCTCGCAGCAGCAGAATCTGCATTTGCAGCAGCAGTCGCAGCTGCGGCAGCAGCAGCGCACGGCGGCCAGTAAGAACGCGAGCAGGGGCATCGCTCGCCGCAGCAGCAGCAGCAGCAACAGCAGCAGCAGCAGGAGCAGCAGCAGCAGCAATGTCGGGCTCTGTGGACAACTCCGTGCTGCGGTGGCGGCTGCGGGGCTCCTCAACGGGCACAACAGCAGCAGGACTGGCTCTTCCGGTGTCTTGTGGGGAGCTGCGTGTACACCTGAAGCAGCAAATGGGAGTTGCTGCTCTTCCAGCAATTGATTTGCTGCTGTCGCTCGAAGCTGCTCCAGATGAAGTGGTGGCTGACAGCATGCTGCTGCACGAGCCTCTGTGTGTCTTGGTGCAGCGGAAGCCTGCTGCTGCTGCTGCTGCTGCGCTGCGCGAGGCGGAGCTGAAGTACCAGCAGCAGCTGCAGCAGCAGCAGCAGCAGGCCAGCGCGCAGCTGCAGCAAAGCGCTGCTGCCGCTGCAGGCGGCGCTGCGGGCGCTGCTGCTGCTGCTGCTGCTGCTCCAGGCAGCAGCGCCGGCGGCTTCGGCCTCAGCAGCGCCGACTATGCTGCAGCAGCTTCAGCAGCAGCAGCAGCAAGTGAGGAGGAGCGGCTGCTGCTGCAGGCTGTCCTTGATGTTCATGACACAAGAAAAAGCTTCCAGAGAGGCGACAGCAGCAGCAGCAGAAGACAAGGCAGCCACAACTTCATGTGGCTGCGGCCGCAGGAGGAGGGCAGCAGCAGCTCTGCTGCTGCTGCTGCTGCTGCTGCTGCTGCTGCCTGCCGCTCCGTGCCGGGCGGGCCTGCTGCACTTGCTGCAGCGCGCCAGCAGCAGCAGCTGATGTACCAGCAGCAGGAGCAGCACTACGCAGCAGCAGCAGCAGCAGCAACTGCTGTTTCTTCAGATTACATTTGCCACATGTGTGGGGAAATGGGACACCATATTAAAAACTGCCCAAAGTCTGCAGACGCGAAGCAGCAAAAAAAGATCAGACCCGCAACAGGTATTAGCAGCAGCAGCAGCAGCAGCAGCAGCAGCAGCAAGTGGTGCTGCAGCGGCACCTGCCGTAGCAGCGCCGCTTGCAGCAGCAGCACCTGCAGAAGCAGCAGCAGTCGATACAGCGGCGACACTTGCGGCAGCAGCAGCGATTAAAGCAGCAGCAGCAGCAGCATGAGCTGCTGAGCAGCAGCAGTGCGTAGGGAGGCGCGGGGGCTTTATTTGTGCATAGTGCTGCTGCTGCTGCTGCTCTTGCTGCTGCTGCTGCTGCTGCTGCTGCAGGTTTGCCTTCTTCGTTTTTAAAGGACATTTTGCCCTCCGAAATCCACAGACACCAAGAAGTCTACATCAAAAAAGGTGGGCGCACGGCAGCAGCAGCAGCAGCAGCAGAAGCAGCAGAAGCAGCAGCAGCAGCAGCAGCAGCGGAGCTTCTGGTGCGCTGCGGATCTGCAGCTGCGGCTGAGTTCTCTGTTACATTGCCTCTTGCCTCCCTTTGCTGCTGCCCCTTAGCTGTGCTGCTTCCCAGCTAGCTAGCTAGCCAGCCAGGCAGCTGGCTAGCCAGGCAGCTAGCTAGCCAAGTAGCTAGCTAGCCAGGCAGCTAGCTACCCAGCTAGCTACCCAGCTAGCTAGCCAGCCACCCAGCTAGCTAACTAGCCAGCTAGCTAGGCATCCAGCCAGCAAGTTAGGCATCCACCCAGCGAGCCAGCCAGCCACCTGCTGCCGCTGCCGCTGCTGCTGCTGCCGCTGCTGCTGCTGCTGCTGCTGCTGCTGAGTGTGTGGGGTGTGGGGTGTGGGGTGTCTGTACAGACGGGAGCTTCGCCGTGCTGAAGCGGGGCGCGCTGGGGAGTCTGAGTTTGCTGGGATCGTCTTTGGATTTACGTATCCAGCGGCATGTGGGGGGAGCAGCACATTTGAAGTGCTGCTGCTGCAGTTCGATCTTCAAGTCTCCCACGTTGACTCCGTGCTGCGGCGAGACTTTCTGCAGAGCCTGCATAGTCTTGTACCTGCAGCAGCACCCTGCTGCTGCTGCGGACCCCAGCAGCAGCAGCAGCAGCAGCGCAGCAGCAGCAGCAGCAGGCGGGCTCGTCGGACACTGCCCCGGCTGCAACGCAGCTATTGCTGCAGCAGACTTGGCTGCCAACACTGTGCTGCAGCAAAGCGTCGACACTGTCACCTGCGGCAACGCCGCGCGCTGGTCCTGGCAGCAGCAGCAGCAGCAGCAGCAGCAGCAGCAGGCCGCAGCAGCAGCAGCAGCAGCAGCTCCCGCTGCGCCGGCAGCAGGCTTCGCCAAAGACGAGAACCTCCAGCCAGGCTCCCTCGCGGAACTGATCTGCAGAAGAAGAGCTGCTGCTGCGCCAAGCGAGGACGCAACTGCAGCAGCAGCAGCAGCAGAAGCCGCAGCAGCTGCAGCAGCAACAAAGTCCCCAGCAGATGAGGATTCGCAGGCGGCGCAGCGGGTGAAAAGCGAAGTACCAACGGACTCGCACCCAGCAGCAGCAGCAGCAGCAGCAGCAGCAGCAGCAGCAGAAGCAGCAGAAGCAGCAGAAGCAGCAGAAGGACCGGCAGCTGCAGCAGGAGCGCAAGATGCAGCAGTGACGCGCACGGAAAAGAAGGAAGCGCCAGACGGAGCAGCAGCAGCAGCAACAGCAGCAGCTGCAACGGCAGCAGCTGCAGCAGCAGCACCAGCCGCAGCAGCAACTGCAGCAGCAAGCACAGGAACAGAGCTGCAGAACGAAGACGATGAGAGTCTTCCCGACACAAGTGACTTGCTGCATTTCAACATTCCTATTGAGCAAATCATTGAGTAAGTGGTGTTGCTGCTGCTGTTGCTGCTGCTGCTGTTGCTGCTGCTTCTGCTGCTGCAGTAGGTGCACGGGCTGCTGCTGCTGCTGCTGTGTGCTTGGGCTGAGCAGGCAGCACCGCATTGCAGCGGTGCAGATCAGAGCCTACAGAGAGAAGCGAAAAGCAGCGGTGGCTCTAGAAACTGCAACATGAGGCGGCAGGCAGCAGCAGCAGCTGCTGCTGCTGCAGCAGCACAGCAGCACTTCATTCGGTGCAGACTTGCTGGCTGCTGCCCTTTGGCCTTCTCGTTCAAACTGCTTCGTTTCAGCTGCAACAGATGCAGCAGCAGCAGCAGCAGCAGCAGCGGCTGGTGCTGTCGCTTTAGTTTCCCCTTTCGAAAAGTTGCACTTAGGGCCAAGCAATTCTGCATGCATAGAGTGCATGCCGATACAATTTGCGTGGCTAGCTGGCTAGCTAGCTAGCCAGCTAGCTAGCCAGCCAGCTAGCCAGCCAGCTAGCTAGCCATGTCGCCCGCTGGCGTGCTGCTGCGGCTTGTTCGCTGCGGAAATTCGTGCGGCTCTTCATCTGCAGCCGCTGCAGCAGCAGCAGCAGCAGCAGCAGCGCAGAGGCCCTCTGCGGGGTGTACGTACAGTCGGACACTACAGCTTTTTGCTTTTAGAGACTGTGCATTTTTTCTAATTTGCTGCAAAGGCTGCCGGTGGGCTGATGGTCTGCAGCAGCAGCTGCTGCGCAGCAAGTGCTGCTGCAGCCGTCACTGTTGCAGCTGCTGCTGCTGCTGCAGTGTGCTGCTGCTGCGGTGTTTTTCGCCTACAGACCACCTAAGTTAAGCCAAGCTTTATAGGTTTTGCTGCAGCGTTGCCTGCTGCTGTGGACTTTGCAGTTGCTGCTGCGTGAAGAGCTGCTGCTGTGTAAACTGCTGCTGCACCAGCGGATGCTTATACTGCGAGAGCTGCTGCTCCTGGAAACTCTTCTGGCTTTTGGGCCTGGCAGCAAAAGTGGTGGCAGATGCTGCTGCTAGCCGCGCGAGCTGCAGCAGGAAGCAGCAGCAGAGGCAGCAAACTAGCCCGAGAAGCACCATGCGCTGCTGCGCTCCTGAAGACACGCAGCAGCAGCAGCAGCAGCAGCAGCAGCAGCAGACATCAACAGCTGGTTTCTCGATACACGCACAGCAAAGACACCTCACATGCTCAAGCAGCAAATAAGGCGAAAGGAGCTGCTGCAGCTTGTGCAGCTGCGCCGCCTGTTTCTGCTGCTGCTGCTGCAGCACCTGTTCCTGCTGCTGCAGCCCTGTCGCTGCCACTGCAGCGAAGCGGCTGCTGCTGCCTCCCCCAGCAGCTTGCAAGAAAGCAGCAGCAGCAGCAGAACTGTCACTCACTCTGCACTCTGGTTGCAGCCCCTTGCAGCTGCCGTCGTAGGACAGCCTCCAGCAGCAGCAGCAGCAGCAGCAGCAGCAGCAGCAGCAGCAGCACGCGTCTCACCGGTGCTGAAGCTCCAGGTTGACTGAAGTGCAGCAGCAGGATTTTTTAGAGCTTCAATGAAAAGAGAAGGATTTGCCCAGAGCCGCAGCAAAAAGGGCCTCACAACATGCCAGGTTTGTGCATGCGCTGCAGCAGCAAGCTGCAGCAGCAAAGCGCCGCGCACAATTGCTGCCATCCAGGTGAGCAGCAAACCCGCTAGCTGCTGCTCCCCCGTGCGGCCCAGCAGCAGAGTAATGACGCAGGAAAAGGCGCTGTGCTGCAGCAGCTGCGGCTGCAGCAGCAGCAGCAACTCGTGGCGCGGCAGAACTGCTGTTTCCACTTTCCCCTGCAGCTCGAAGCCATTTTGGCCCCAGTGGAGAAAAGAGGTCACCAGCGTATGCAGAGATAAAGAAACCCCTGCAGCAGCAGCAGCAGCAGCAGCAGCAGCAGCAGAAGCAGCAGAAGCAGCAGATGACGCAGCCCTACGCGCAGGTGCCCCTGATTGCTGCGGCCTCAGGCTCGGCAGCGGCAGCAGCAGCAGTGCGCGTAGCAGCACGACCAGCAGCAGCCTCGAAACAAAGGCCTCAGCAACAGCAGCAGCAGCAACAGCAGCACCAGCAGCAGCAGCAGCAACAGCAGCAGCAGCAACAACGTGTGCAACAGCCCCGCGGAGCAGCCCAGCACCAGCACCAGCACCAGCAGCAACACCAGCACCAGCAGCACCAGCAGCAGCAGCAGCACCAGCAGCAACACCAGCACCAGCAGCAGCAGCAGCAGCAGCAGCAGCAGCAGCCGCAGCAGCAGGGGCAGCAGCAGCAGCAGCAGCAGCAGCACCGGTGAAGTTGTTGGGGGCGTAGGGGTTTGGGCGCTCGGGGTGGAGAGCGCCGCTGAAGGCCAAAGTGTCCAGCAGCAAAAAGGCCGCCGACAGCAGCAGCGGCGCGAGCGATGGCGCGAGCGGCCCCGCGCGAGCCAACGGCCGCGGCAGCTGCCGCGAACTGAGGGGCCCCTCGAGGTAAGAAAAGACAAGAAAAGATCCCAACAGAGTCAACACCAAAGACACGGCTTCGCGGAGGGGACCAGCCCAGTATATAAGACACGCCCCTGCAGCAGCAGCAGCAGCAGCAGCAGCAGCAGCAGCAGCAGCAGCAGCAGCGGCAGCGGAGAAGGTGAAGGTGGAGGTGGAGGTGAGGGGGGCTCGGAAGCAGCAGCAGCGAGCAAGGTTTGGCCAGCAGCAGCAGCGGCGCTAGCAGCTGGCAGGCCGGCAGCAGCAGCAGCAGCAGCAGCAGCAGCAGCAGCGGGGCGCAGCAGCAGCAGCACGGGGCGGTGCTGCAGTGCGCGTTCCAGCAGCAAAGAAGCCCCGTGAGGGCCCCTAAGGGCCCCCGACCTCCTAAAACCCCTCCAGACTCTACTTGGACTAACTTCGACTAAAAGTGGAATCTAAACTAAAAGTGGAATCTAAAACATTTGCAAACCCTCAAAACGCCCCCGGGGGGCCCCCAGAAACCCCCAGGGGCCCCCAGGGGCCCCCAGGGGCCCCCAGGGGCCTACAGGGGCCCCCAGGGTCCTACAGGGGCCCCCAGGGGCCCCTAGGGGCCCCCGGGGGCCCCCGGGGGCCCCTGGGGGCCCCTGGTTTGGCAGGAAGTGCGTGGGAGTGTGGGGTGTACGTACAGGAGGAGAGGGCGAAGATGGAGCTGTTGATCAAGATGGACATTATGAAGAAAGAAGGAACTTTGTGGGGTTTTCTTGAGGGCCTCCTGTGGAGGGGGGCCCCCGGGTAAGCAGCAAGCAGCAGGGGGGCCCCCTGGGGCGCGGGGGGGTAGCTGCAGAGGGCCAAGTTGAAGGCTGGGCTGAGCAGCAGGGGCTGAGAGGAGGCTAAAGAAACCCCACTGACATCCTGCTGCGCTGCAGGGGCCCCCAGGCTCTCCATTCGCCAGGAAGCAGCAGAGCTGCTGCAGCTGCTGCAGCAGAGGGGCCCCTCCGGCCGCCGCAGCCCCCAGGGTCACCTGGGGCCCCTCCCCCAGTGCAGCAGCAGCAGCAGCAGCAGCAGCAAACCCTGCGCTTCCCCTCCCGGGATCTCCAGCTAACCCTCCCCTCCTCTCGGGGGTAACTGCCTTCTTCGCAAGTGCAGCAGCAGCAGCAGCAGCAGCAGCAGCAGCAGCAGCGACAGCCCCAGCTCTCCGGGAGCAGCGCCCCGAGCAACAGCGACTCGGCCAGCAGCGCGGCAAGCAGCAGCAGCAGCAGCAGCAGCAGCAGCAGCAGCAGCCTGCGAGTTCTACGTAAATACAGAAGTCGGGGCTTTCTAAAGCCCCCGTGAGACTTTCTAGACTCCTGATCAGCTCCCGGCAAGCCCTGGAGGCCCGAGTTTCGACTTTTCGGGGATAAACTCTGCAGTTTTTTCTAAATAAATCAAATTTGAATAAACTTCGGCAGCAAAGAAAGCCAAAGAGTTCGCCGTGGACTCTTGGGGGGCCTGTGGGGGCCCCAGCGCACAGAGCCTTCGGGGGCGCACCTGGGGCCCCGCAGCCTCCGCAGTTCAAGTTTGGGACTTTTTGTCGGAGTTTTCCGCCAATATTTAAATTAATTGAAATTAATTTATTAAAATATTCTTCTATTTCGCAGATCGAGGGCCAGTTGGCCGCTGCTGCTGCTGTTCTGCATGCAGCGACCAGAACTTACTGGCCTGGATGCTGCTGCTTCCCAAGCCCGCTGCAGCAGAAGGCTTCAACCCGCAGCTAGCTGCTGCGATACCAGCTAGCTGCTGCGAGGCCAGCTAGCCGCTGCGAGGGCAGCTAGCTGCTGCGAGGGCAGCTAGCTGCTGCGGGGCAGCTAGCTGCTGCGGGGCAGCTAGCTGTTGGTGCGCCAGCTAGCTGCTGCTTCGCTGGCCCGCTGCTGCCGGGTGCGCAGCTGCTGCCTCACGAGCTAGCGACACTCCGGGTGGCTAGCTGCTGCAGGGACAGCTAGCTGTTGCAGGGGAAGCTAGCTGCAGCTAGCTGCAGCTAGCACAGCTAGCTGTTGCAGGGGCAGCTAGCTACGGGTAGTGCAGCTAGCTACGGGTAGTGCAGCTAGCTAAGGGTAGTGCAGGCAGCCCACGTGACTGCAACTGGCTGGCTAGCCGGCTAGCTGTCTTCGCCTAGCTAGCTGGCTAGGCAACTAGCTGTCTTTGGCTAGCTAGCTGGCTAGCCAGCTAGCTGCCGTTCGCTAGCTAGCCAGCTGGCTAGCCAGCTGGCTAGCCAGCTGGCTAGCCAGCTAGCTGTGGCTCCAACCAGCACAAAAATCAGCTAGCCAACAGCTCTTAGCCAGCAGCTTTTTTGAATTCTGTTTTTTACAAAAAGTATTTCACTTAGTTTTCAATTAAATGCCCTTTAGCTGCTGCCAGCAGCTTTCTAAAAAGGAAGCAAATAAAAAAGATTTCATAATTTTCATTTTCTTAATTTGCTGCTTCCCCACTTTTATTTTCTTCTTCTAATTCTCTGCGTAAATTGCTGCTTACGGCTGCGCCCGTTTGCCCCAGGCTCCTGTAGCTAGCTGCAGCTAGCTGCAGCTAGCTGCAGCTAGCTACAGCTACAGCTAGCTGTAGCTAGCTGCAGCTAGCTGTGGCTCTAGCTAGCTGCAGCTAGCTACAGGCTGCTACGAGCTAGCAAGCTGCAACCAGCTAGCTGCAGCCACAGCTAAGTGCAGCTAGCCGCAGCTAGCCACAGCTAGCTAAACAGCTAGCTGTAGCTAGCCACAGTTAAGTGCCTCATCTCCTCTCCTAAGTCTCAGAAATGTCCTTTTTGCTGCTTTTTTGTTTTGCTGCTCTTTTATTTCAAATAAATATCTTTTAAATAAATTAAAAGAACTGCAGCAAAAGCTGCTGCTGCTGCGCCTCACCTAATCCATTCTTTATAATTCTTTTTAATACTTTTTCATTTTAATTATTTTTAATTCCTTTTGTTCTTTAAATCATTTTTAATTCTTTTAATTCTCTTCACTCTTTATAATTCTTTTCTTTTTATTTCTTTTTTCTTTTCTTGGCTTTCATAAAAAGAAAATTAAATTCCTTTTTACAAATTTTAAATCAGTTTTGAATTCCAATTTTTTTCAAAACAAATTTGAAGTTTTTTTCTTTATTTCGCCTACTAAGGCAAATAGCCACAAAACCCCATTTCGTGCTGCTGCTTGCTGCTGCTGTTGCTGCTGCTGCTGCTGTTGCTGCTGCTGCTGCTGCTGCTTGCTGCTGCTGGGGAGCCAGCAGAGCGCAGCGCATGCAGCAAAGCAGCCTTTCTGCTTGCTGCAGCAGGCGCTGCTGTTGCTGCCTCACTCGCTGTAAGCGCCCTTTGCTGCAGCAGCAGCAGCTGCTGCTGCAGCTTCTTGCTGCTGCAGCTATCTGCTGCTGCAGCTTCTTGCTGCTGCAGCTACCTGCTGCTGCAGCTGATGTCTCATTCTTCAACTTTCATTATTCATTTAAATTCACATTTCACACTACTTGGAATCTCAGCTTCGTGGCTGTCTAGGCTCAAGCAGAAGGAGCAGCAGCAGCAGCAGCAGCAGCAGCAGCAACAGCAGCAGCAGCAAGAAACTCGCTAGCTGCAGCAGAGAAACCTCCCTATAAACCCCACACCTTTCTTGAGGTGTACAGACACTTGAAATTCTCAACTGCTCGAGGCGCTCTCGGGTGTACATACACCTCAACGGGGGAGCCAACATAACAAACTCAAAACTCGACAACCCCACTGCGACAGCAACAGCAGCAGCTGCTGCTGCTGCTGCATGGGAACAGCAGCAGCAGCTGCTGCTGCAGGAAAGCAGCAGCAGGTGACTTCCCTGCTGCTAAGAAGCCTCAGAACATATTGTGGCACACCTAGATGAAAGATGCAGGCCCCAGGCAGCTGCACTTGCTGCAGCAGCACCTAGCAGCAACAGCAGCACCTAGCAGCAGCAGCAGCACCCAGCAGCAGCAGCAGCATCTAGCAGCAGCAGCAGCATCTAACAGCAGCAGCAACGCGGGCCTGCGCGCACCAGTTAGACGCAACAGCTCTACAGTCGCCTCACCCCTTCAGTTGCTGCTGCTGCAGCCGCAGCTGGAAGACAAAGCCCATTTCCCTAACAGCAGCAGCAGCAGCAGCAGCTGCTGCTGCTGCTGCTGATACAGGATGCCGCGGTATCAGCAGCACCTATTCCTGGGTACCAGAATGGAAGCCTTGGCCGCCTGCTGCTGCAGCCAACCCGGAGCAGCAGCAGCAGCAGCAGCAGCAACAGCAGCAGCAGCAGCAGCTACGGCTGCACGAACTGCGGGCTTGGCAAAAGCAGCACTGGATTTCACGCAGCACTTCTGGAGTGCGTGCAGCAGCACAAGTTGCTGCCGGTGCTGCAGCAGGCCTGCTGCTGCAGCCAGCAGCAGGCTGCTGCAGCACAGCCTGCTGCTGCTAAGCTGCACAAACAGCTGCTGCTGCTTCCAACACAGCAGCAAGTCAGCAGCTGGGAGCGATCTGTGGGCGTCCACTGGCGCTGCTGAGTTCCCGTTTCTGCTGCTGCTGCTGCGGCCACTGCTGCTGCTGCTGCTGCTGCACCGGCTCCTACACGGCTGAGAACCAGCAGCAGCAGCAGCAAGTTGAACAATGTTCACTAGAAATTTTCAGTTCTATTTGTAACTCTAGAGAGAAAATGCTGCGGTGAACGGGAGGCAGCAGGTCTGTACGGAACGCGTCTTGCTGCTGCTGGTGTTGCTGCTGCTGCTGCAGCTGCAGCTGCAGCGGCAGTCAGCAGCGTTCCTCCAAGAAGAAGAGTAAATGATTTGTTCTTGTTAAATAGCAGCAGCAGCAACCCGTGCCGCTGCAGCATCACAAGACGCAGCAGCGGCAGCAGCCGCAGCAGCGGCAGCGCCACGCGAGCACCAGTAGCGTCGTGCTGCTGCTGCTGCTGCTGCTGCTGCTGATGTGCAGCAGCTCGTCTGTGCCCGCGAAAGAAGGAAGAAAGGCATCAAATTGCCGGCGTTGAAGTACTGTTTGCTGCCTCTTTCACAACGTTGTGTCACTGCTGCTGCTGCAGAAACTGAGCAGACACATATTCCCTCGCGCTGCTGCTCCCTCCGTGTCTGCTGCTGCTGCGGCGTTAGCGGCAGCAAGCAGCAGCAGCAGTTCCCTCTTTCTTCTTTCGAGCCTTTCAGATTCAAGGCTGGGGGCCTTTCCTCTCTGGGGGTTCTTCTGGAGCTGCTGTTCTTTTGCTGCTGCAGCAGCAGCGCCGGTGCTGCCGAGTGGTGCTGCTCCTGCGACCTCTTACCTAACCGCTCCCCGGGTGGCTTTGCTGCTGTCGTTGCTGCAGCAGCAGCAGTCTTTCGCTTTTCCATTTTTTCTGGGCTGCGGTTGCGGCTCCTGCTGCTGCTGCTGCTGCTGCTGCTCTGCAACAGCCACGCCTCACTGCAGCACATTGCGCTTGCTGCTGCTGCCCCTCTATATTGCTTCCTGCTGCTGCAGCAGAGCCCACGACAGCCTCGGGAGTGTCTCCTAGGCTGCCTGTCCTTTTTGTAGCATCCGCGGTGCAGCAGCTGCTGCAGTTGCTGCTGCAGCAAACCGTGACAGCATCTGCTGCTCCTGCTGCTCCCCCTGCAGCAGCAAAAACACACCACGACCTTCAGCAGCACCGCCTGCCAAGATGAAGCCTGAGTAGTAAGCTGCCTTGCTGAGGCCCCTGCTAGCATCAGCAGCCACAGCAGCAGCAGCAGCAGCAGCCACAGCAGCAGCAGCAGCAGCAGCAGCAGCCACAGCAGCAGCTAGTTGCCGTGGCCGGTGTGTCTGACTTCGCTGCTTCATCGGGGTCTCTCCCTTCCGTGGCTTGTGGGTCTTGCTGCGTGGCGCGCCTGCTTACGCTGCTGCTGCTGCTGCTGCTGCTGCTGTTGCTGCTGCTGCTGCTGCTGCAGCGATTTTCTCTTCAAGCTGCTCCTCATTGGGGACTCCGGCGTGGGCAAGTCCTGCCTGCTGCTGCGTTTCGCCGTAAGGCCTGCTGCTGCTTGCTGCTGCTGCGGATCCTTTTGCCCCAGTTTGCCCGCAGCAGAGTTTAGGGTTTAGGGTTTAGGGTTTAGGGTTTAGGGTTTGTGTGGGGCCTGGGGTGTACGTACACCGCAGGACGACACGTACACTGAAAGCTACATCAGCACAATCGGCGTCGATTTCAAAATCCGCACAATCGACTTGGACGGGAAGACAGTCAAGCTGCAGATCGTAAGACGCCCTGCTGCTGCTGCTGCTGCTGCTGCTGCTGCTGCTGCTGCTGGTGTTGCTGCTGCTGATGTTGCTGCTGCTGCTTGGTTTCGATTGCCGCTGCTTGCCCGCTTTGTCCCCGCCCGTCGCTGGCTCGCGCGCCTCCCTGCGCGCGTGCGCCTCCTGCTGCTGCTGCCAGCAGCAGCAGCAGCAGCAGCAGCAGCAGCAGCAGCAGCAGCAGCAGCAGCAGCAGCAGCAGCAGCACAGCAGCAGCAGCAGCAGCAGCAGCAGCAGCAGCAGCAGCAGCAGCAGCAGCAGCAGCAGCAGCAGCAGCAGCAGCAGGTGTGCGTGCAGTGGGACACTGCGGGCCAGGAGCGCTTCCGCACCATCACCTCTTCTTACTACAGAGGCGCCCACGGCATTGTCGTCGTCTACGACGTCACTGACAGAGAGTCTTTCGCCAACGTCAAGAACTGGATGCACGAGATCGAGCGGTCAGCTAGCTAGCTAGCCAGCTAGCCAGCCAGCTAGCTAGCTAGCTAGCTAGCTAGCTAGCTAGCTGGGGGGCGGGGTGGCGGGGTGGCTGGGTGGGGGGCTGGGGGGCTG